GCGGAAGGAGTGAGAGGCAGGAGTCCTAGTTGCCTCAGTGATTGTAACTTTTTGACAGAGGGGACTTTGAAGGCAGAGAGTTCAGTTCCATTGTCTACCAGGAGAGTAATAGATTGATCCCCAATATAGATATGAAGGTTTTTTGAGAGTCCTTATCTTTTAATCCAAAGGAGCATTTATTTTTAGTGGTCATAGTCTTTATATCAGGCTTCTGGGTAACAGTGGTAACTTTTGACATATTAATGGGCTTTTTGTCCTCTTCGATGTCTTTGACAAGCGTTGAACTTGTTTGTTTTTAGGGAGGGTGACTTTTGGGAGAGACCATGGCAACTCATTCATCAGGGCTAACAGTCCAGTTTTTCTTTAGTCAGAATGTGGAACTCAAAAGGAATTGCTGACAGTCATCTCGGGTAGGTATTAGATGATGCCATCTGACCAGGCTAGGAAGCAGAAGGCTCTGGAGAAAGGGCCTCTGTGGCTGAATGCGGGCAGCATCTAGCTGGAAACAGTTCAGTCAGCTGAAAGTAGAGGACTCAGGAGCAGGGAGTGAAGCTATAGGTGTCTGCGGTGGCTGCGATGGCTGTCTAGAATGCCAAGACAGAATTCTCAGAAAGAATGGGCCTCTTTTTTTCCTTTTTTTTTCTTTGAGAGGTTTGGTTTCATTTTGAACTCCCTTACCTCAGAAAAGCCCTTTTTCCTGCAGTCAGGGACTGTGGGTTTTGACTAATTATGTCACATCTCTGACTTGCTATGTGTGTGTTTTGTTCCCTTGACTGATGGTGCAACAGACAAAAGGTAGATGCTCCTCAGACCATTCTGGTGCCTGCCTGGCCATGTCCCTCCTGGGGACTTCAGCATGCCTTAGCTAAGTAGGGTGCAAGGCCTCTATTATGCTGTATGTCAGTTGCCACACAACTGCAGGTGAGGGCCCAATCAGCCACCTTGACCAGTGCTTCCCAGTCTTGGTGCACCAACGTAGCAGATCACTGTTTATGCTGTCCATGCCACTCACACATTCAGCAGGCACTCAGAGGTTAAAACATTCCACCCCCTCTTCCCTTGAGGGTGGTCCTGACTAACAAGAGTTGATCAGACTCCCCTTCTGCTCAAGCTGAACAGGATTGACAGACAGCCTAATGGGTATACCTGGGGGTCTTACCTTATCCAGTGACCAGACCAGACTGTGTCTTTCTCCCTTTTGGGTCTAATGTGAGCCGCTCAGCAGGGAACCAAGAATCCTCCTCCAGACTGCTGAAGGGACTCAGGAAATCTCAGCGGTATGCCTTCCCATCAGGACCTGAAAAGGTCCTTGCTTCACCCAAGAGGGCCATGACTGGTGCACGTCAGCATAGTCAGTCTTCCCGGCCAGCACACCAAGTTCAGCTGCAAGCAGAAACACCAAAACGACACCCAGGATTTGGAGGCAGATTTATTTTACATCAACAGGAACTGATCGGGATCATTTCCAAAACATCAGGCCCCAAAGGCTCAGGGAAGGAGGTTTTTATGGGAGTCTGCAAGGGGAAGTGCAAAGGCAGAGTACTTGGCTATCTTTAGTTCTTACAGCATGTGTCATAGTGACCAGCTGTGCATCACAGTGACCAACTGTTTCTATGAGACAAAAGTGACAGGAACTATAACCGAGAACTGTTAACCTGGGCAGCTAACAAACTGAAGTATACTAATGGAGGGACATTTTTTGCTACATAAGTAGATACAAAAACCTGAAGCTAAAGGCCATTTTATCCAATAATGACATTTTTATTTCCTTTTGGGCCTGGGGTCTAATCAAGACTTACGCATTGCTTTTTTGTTGTCTTTTTGAGACAGTGTCTTGCTATGCAGTTCAGGCTGACCTTGAGCTCACTTTGTAGCCCAGGCTGGCCTCAAACTTGCAACGATTCTCCTTCCTCAGCCTCCCAAGTGCTGGGATGACAGGAGTGTGCCACCATGCCCAGCTTATGCATTGCTTTTGATTGTTATCACAAGAGCTATAGCTCTTTGGTCTGTTTTAATGTATGACATTTTAATGTAGAAAATTCCTTTTTGTGGATGTTTTTGTTGTAAAAGACATTGCCAGGAGAACTGGCAAAATGAAAATGGTACCTGAGAGATGGTAGTAATTCGTTAATGTTGATGTACTTTGTGAAGATTGTATTGTGGTCATATTAGAGAGTATCCTTGTTTATAGAAAATGTTCAGTAAAGTGTTCAGAGGTGATGGGATCAATAACTTCTAAGTGTTTCAAGAAAAGATTTTTGGAAATACAGTACTTGCAACTTTTTTGAAGTTTGAGATTGTTTCAAAGTAAAGATAAATTATTCCAAAATATTAGGGAAACCTTTTAACATTTCACCATGAAGTATGGTGTTTGTTGAACTTTTATAGACTCCTTTACCGTATTAAAGAAGCTCTATGAAAAGCTGTGTCCAAGAAGTCATATTCTGACCTTTCTGAGTCCCATTGTCCCATCTCCCCAGGTGGAATCATTACCATCGCTTCTAATTTATTCTTCCTGTTTTTTTTTTTTTTTTTTTTTTTTTTTTTCAAAAGTTAATCCCCTGTTTTTCACAAAAGGTATATATACTTAATGTAACCTGAAAAGTAACTTCATAAATCATTTTACAGT